GGCACACTATATATTGGATTCATATTCATATGATACACATAATATGTAGTAATACGATAGGTTATGTTTATAACATGAATGTTTATGAATATATATAGTATTTAAGCGATCATAGCATCAAAATATACACGTATATATATGGATGATAGTTAATACCATCAAATAGTTTATAATAGAGTATAATGGCAGTTTGTATTTTACTAATTAGGAAAATAGGTGTACTGTATACTATATTTTTACTATAGATAGAGTAGTGTAATTTTTAAGTGCAGAGAATAAAACATACTGGGGTATAACTTATCTGTAGTATTTATATACATATGGCCTAGAATACATAATATGTAGTAGTAGTAGTAGTAGTATTTATACCATGAATGTAGAGTATTTAACCCATCATGGCATAATAGTATTACATAAGTATAGGGTATGGTATTTGAATGTAAATGAATATACATGCATATAGGCAGTAAACAATACTGAAATGATAAGGAAATTATAGATCCTATTAATGTAGTTATACCATGAATTTATATAATTATCTTTCTATATATTGTAATATAGGTGATAGTAAAATACAACTGTATTATAATATTTTTAATTTCTGATATTACATAGCATTGAGAACAGTACAATATAATGTCCGTGTAGCATCAATGTATATGAATATACACGTATATAGATAGTATAATGTAAATCAATGTAGACAGATTCATCGAAAGGCATGGAACAGAAATAGATTTGTTTAATGTTCATCGCTAATCATCTTTCTCATCTGTATAAAAGCAAGTTCATGTATGGCAAAATTAACATTAAATCTCAATATTTAGAGATAATGATATGTAATTGCCAGTTCAAATAAAATAAATACTTTACCGACAACAAATTTAAAAAAAAAAACATGTTCATCGGTCAGCATATACAGAACTCATTTTTTGAGAGAACTGGCCATGAAATGCTATATCCGATGGTATTTTTGTATCCTCAAACAGTAAAGAAATAAATACATCTATGAATCTAATTAAAAAGTTTGAAAACTGATTCGTAAAAAAACTGAAATCCATTAAAAATTGAAGCATGTGAGAAAACATGCTATGATTTTGTTCAACACATAACAACACCGCTTCGTCAAAAGAGATCTACGAAAAACGGTAGAAAATATACAAATGTTTGAGGAAGAAAGTTTGAGAAGAGGATATACCAAACGACTACGACTCAGCCGCAAAATCCATGGATGATGATAACCGGCGAGTGAACTCGACCCCCTGACGCCACACAGTCCGTCACAGAACACCGGAAATCCGGAAAAAGTAAGGGATAGACAAAGGCCTAAAGGAGGGCGAGTGAACTCAACCCCCTGACACCGCAGAGTCCATCACAGATCATCGGAAATCCGGAAAAAGTAAGGGATAGACGAAGGGCTGAAGGAGGGGAAAATTTTGTATGAATATCGGAGAAGAGCGGTGAAGCTTCTGGAGACCAGCGGTCTTTGAGTTTATCCGCTGTGTCTCCAAGAAAGTGTTATATACTGAGGTGGTTAGGTCGGGTAGGGTTAGGGAATTAATGTTTGGGTTGATATGGTTGTTGGGCTGGGTAGGGTCAGACAATTATTTTTAAAAATTGGGTTGTTGGGTCCAAAAGGGCTTAAATTTGCCCAAGTAGAGTCCAATTAAAGCTATAAGTTGTTGGTCCTAACTATTAGAGTATTGATTGAAATTATCATTTTAATTATATAAATAAAATCCTATAGTGTTTAAATTGTTATTAATTGTTAAAATAGAAATTATTTAATTATATAAAAACATTTAGTGACCTATTTTACGTATATAATCTATTTTTATTAGAGTATCGAATTATCATTTTAATCATTTTAATTTTACTAAAATCCAATATTGTTCTGATTTTTATTAATAATGCTTAATGCTTGATTTTTAACTTTTTAATTAACTATATTAATATTAATAATAATTGTCAATTGATGTAAATTATAACTTATTGAAGGTATTGGGCCTAATTCTTAGACCAGTGAGAATTTTATTTGAATAAATATTGAAATCAATTAATTTTTTGTGAAATCTTTTTTCCCTAACCAATTATTATTATTTTATTATTATATTATGATATCATTGTTATTAATATTATTTCGTAATTGTTAAATTCGAAATTATTTGATAGGTAGTAATTAAACTGTACTTCAGTACCTTTTCTTAAGCCATTGGGTTTATCTAATGTAATTAAAGATTAAAGATTTAAGAAATGTATCAAATTTGAATTTAGATGTGTATATGTACATAATACAAAATAGAACTTGCCAATCAAAAATCAAATGACAGAATTTTTGTTTATTTCCTTCTATTCTGCAGAAAACGTTGATTGTAGGGTCGATAGTCTACATCCTCCTCAACCTTTGGGAATCGGTTCCAGTTCTTTTAAATTTACAAGAGCAGCTGTAAAGGAAGGAATCTCTAACTTTTTAGCAGATAGAACAAATGGTATTTACCGTCTTTTTTATTTTTTTTATATTTACGACATATGCGTGCCAATAGCATTCAATATTTTTATGTACATGAATATACATATAATTTCAAAAATGTGTAACACATAAGCGAATGCTATTTTGATTTTGATAATAACATGTAATGAATGACTTCATTTCTTTTATGAAAACGTTTTATATAATAATTTAGAATTTTAATTTAAATATATGTATGCATCGCCTGTTCCGTGGATTTAATATCTCGATATTGATAAATGACAATTGCAGTGTTGCAGTCACCGTTTAACTCTTCTTTAGTATTGACCACACAAAATGTGAATGACATAGAACGTCCTGTTGGTATTGTACCACCACGCACATTGCCTGACATTCATGATGCAGTTCCATCACAAACCAACGCTGATGAAGGTCAGAAAATTGCGCAGTCCAATTCCTCACACATGGTAATGAGTTGTCGCTTATTAATTTGTTTGTTGTGTAGATATAATCAGTAGCGAATATTGGGACATTGGTGATCTCAGTTATGTTTGTGAATACTGTGGGGCATTGTTTTGGTATAATGAAAGATTGCTGCGAAGTTCTACTGTAACAAGCACTAAGTATTCTCTATGTTGCGGGCAAGGGAAGATCAAACTAGCACCTCAGAAAGAGCCTCCAAAAGAATTGTGTGATTTGATAAATGGCACAGATCAAAGATCCAAACACTTTCAGGACAATATTCGATCATACAATAGCATGTTTTCTTTCACATCAATGGGTGGAAGGGTTGATCAAACAATCAACATTGGTGGCTCACCTCCAGTTTTTAAACTTAGTGGCCAAAACTATCATTTGATTGGGAGTTTGTTGCCCGTGGAAGGAAATGTCCCCAAATTTGCGCAATTGTATATCTATGACACGCAACATGAGGACGCTAACCGCCTCACCTCGGTGGGGTAATAACCCAACACAACATCAATTTGTTTTTGTTTTTATTATGAATTTATGGGATTACGCTAAACAATATTGTACTTTAATTTGTTTTGAAATGTTAGGGATGAGAAACGAAAGAAGAAATTGCATGTTGATATTGTCTCTACCCTAAGGCAAATGTTGGATCAACATAACGTTTTAGTCAAGTCCTTTAGGATGGTTAGAGACAAGATTGCGGAATGTGGACATTCCAATGTTAACTTGAAGTTAATTGGGCGGAGAAGTAGAGATGCTAGAACATACAATTTGCCCACGGTGTCTGAAGTGGCGGCTTTGATAGTTGGTGACTTCGATGAATCTTTGGGGCAGAGGGACATAATGGTCGAAACTCAAGGGGGTGTTTTGAAACGGATCAATGAGTTGAATCCTGCTTATTTGGGGCTACAATATCCACTTCTGTTTCCTTATGGTGAAGATGGGTATAGAGAGGATATAAGTTTTTCAGATTCTAATAGTAAAAGTACTAAAGGTCGCCGTAGTGTTAGCGTGCGGGAATTCCTTGCATATCGATTACATGATCGTGGGGCTGATAATTCCTTTATCCTCAAAGCCCGGAGATTGTTTCAACAATTTGTGGTAGATGGATACACAATGGTTGAATCATCTAGACTAACTTATATAAGATTGAATCAGAAGCAATTAAGATGTGCAATGTACAAAGGCCTGACCGAGGCTTTACTAAGTGGTGAACGAGATGCTTCTACCCAAGGAAAGAGAATAGTGTTACCACCGACATTTGTTGGAGGAGCCAGATACATGGTTCAAAACTATCAAGATGCAATGGCTATTTGTCGATGGGCTGGATATCCAGATCTTTTCTTGACTTTCACTTGCAATCCAAAATGGCCAGAAATTGTTAGATTCCTTTCTGAAAGGAATTTGAATCCTGAAGATCGCCCTGATATAATATGCAGAGTCTTCAAGATGAAGTTAGATGGATTGATCAAAGATCTCCGGCAAAACAAGATCTTTGGTGATGTTCGAGCAGGTTAGCAATATCTCTATTATAAGTGGTTAATAAACTTATTGTTCATGTTAAATAATAATAATAATAATAATAATAATAATAATAATAATAATAATAATAATAATAATAATAATAATAATAATAATAATAATAATAATAATAATAATAATAATAATAATAATAATAATAATAATAATAATAATAATAATAATAATAATAATAATAATAATAATAATAATAATAATAATAATAATAATAATAATAATAATAATAATAATAATAATAATAATAATAATAATAATAATAATAATAATAATAATAATAATAATAATAATAATAATAATAATAATAATAATAATAATAATAATAATAATAATAATAATAATAATAATAATAATAATAATAATAATAACAATAATAACAATAATAACAATAATAACAATAATAACAATAATAATAATAATAATAATAATAATAATAATAATAATAATAATAATAATTCATTACAGCGCCTGTTTTTATTACGTGCAGTTGTTTATACTATTGAGTTCCAGAAACGTGGCCTCCCACATGCCCATATATTGTTGTTCATGGGAAATACAGACAAATTTACAACTCCTGCAGATATAGATCGCATTATATCAGCCGAAATACCTGACGAGTCAAGTGATCCTGATTATTTTAATGCTGTAAAAATGCATATGATGCATGGTCCGTGTGGGAGAGAGGCAAAAAACGCACCATGCATGGTCCAGTCTAAATGTTCTAAGCACTTTCCGAAGAATTTCAATGCACATACTAACATTGACGAAGACGGTTATCCCAAGTACATGAGGCGGGATGATGGGAAGGAGATTGTGAAGAACACTATACCACTTGACAACAGACATGTTGTTCCACATAATAGGTATTTGTTGATGAAGTATGGGGCTCATCTTAATGTCGAGTGGTGTAATCAATCAAGGTCTATCAAGTATCTTTTCAAATATGTGAATAAAGGTAATGATCGCGTCACAGCTGCATTTTATGAGACCACAAATAAGGATGGCTCAGAAAAACCCGTGGATGAAATTAAATTGTACTATGATTGCCGATACGTTTCACCATGTGAGGCAATGTGGCGTATTTTAGGGTTTGAGATACAATATAAGAATCCATCCGTTGAGCGTTTGAGCTTTCACTTTCCCGATGAGCAATGTGTATATTTTGATGATGAGGATGCAATGACAGATGTTGTACAACGTGAATCTGTTAAACAAAGCATGTTTCTGGCATGGATGAAGGCCAATGATCAGTATGCGGAGGCAAAAAATTTAACTTATGCCGAATTCCCTCAGAAGTTTGTTTGGAAGCAAAAAACAAGGGAATTTGTTCCTCGGCAGAGGGGTTTTGCTTTGGGTCGAGTGGCATATGTACCTCCAGGATCCGGTGAATCTTATTATTTGCGATGTATCCTCAATTTAAAGCGTGGTGCTACGTCTTTCGCCGACTTACGAACTGTTGATGAGGTTTGTTATGAAACATATCGTGACACGTGTTACGCATTGGGTTTGTTGGACGATGATCGAGAGTACGTCGAAGGTTTTACGGAAAGCAGTTTTTGGGCTTCTGCTTGGGGACTTAGAGTTCTATTTGTAATATTGCTACTGGCAGATACAATGAGTAGACCTGAATACGTTTGGGAGAAATGTTGGAATTTTATGTCTGATGACATTCTTCATAGACAACGACGAGCTTTGCTACATCCAGGTTATTGAAACTTACAATTTATTTATTTTTAACTATATTGTTGTTTTTAATAAGGTAAATAGAATTGTTGTGGAATTAAATGTTCATATTGTTTATTGTAGAGTTAACGTTGACAAAAGAAGAAATCAAGAATTATGCATTGGTTGAAATAGAGACAATGTTAAGGACTCGCGGAAAAAGCCTAAGGGACTACCCATCAATGCCATTCCCTAATTGCAGTAACGCAACCATGTTTCAGAATAGACTTATTTATGATGAGTTGCAATATGATCACGCCGAAATGCGGGAACAACATGACAAATGCATGGAGAGTTTGAATGAGCAGCAAAGTGAGGTGTACAAGATTATTATGGAATCCATTGAAGGAAACAATGGTGGAGTGTTCTTTGTATATGGGTACGGGGGTACAGGCAAAACGTTTATTTGGAAAACGTTGTCAGCGGCTCTAAGGTCAAAAGGTGAAATTGTTTTAAACGTGGCTTCAAGTGGAATTGCTTCATTGTTATTGCCTGGTGGAAGAACTGCTCACTCACGTTTTGCGATACCAATCAACCCAACTGAGCATTCCACATGCAACATCAAGCAGGGCAGCCCATTAGCCCAATTGATTATTAGGTCTAAACTTATTATTTGGGATGAGGCACCGATGATGCATAAATATTGTTTTGAAGCTTTGGACAGAAGTTTCCGTGACATTCTAAGGGTTGTTAATCCTCTGAACACTGATAAGCCATTTGGAGGGAAGACTATAGTATTTGGAGGAGACTTTAGACAAATCTTACCGGTGATTACCAAAGGTACAAGACAAGACATAGTTAATGCCACAATTAATTCTTCATACATATGGCAAGACTGCATTGTTTTACGCTTAACGAAGAACATGAGACTGCAATCGTTGAGTGGCGATCGTGATTATGCTGACTTGGTTGACTTTGCTGAGTGGATAGCGAGTTTGGGAGATGGAACAGCAGGTGGTCAAAATGATGGCTGTGCTGATATCAATATACCAAGTGACATTTTGCTCCAAACTGATGAAGACCCTATTGCCACAATCGTGCGCAGTACGTATCCTGATTTTGAGGCTATGCCGACTGACCCCTCATTCCTAAAAGAGCGTGCTATTTTGGCCCCAACGCTTGATGTTGTCGACTCAATTAATGAGTACATGACTGCATTGAATGTCACAGAGGAGTCCAGGACATATTTGAGTTCTGACAGCATTTGCAAATCGGACTCAAATTCTGATTTTTTGGCTGATTTGCATACACCGGAATTCTTGAATAAGATACGTGCATCCGGTGTTCCAAATCATGAGTTGACTCTCAAGGTTGGTACTCCGGTCATGCTTCTTAGGAACATTGATCATTCAATGGGCTTATGCAATGGGACGAGGTTGATTATTACAAGGCTGGGAAATCATGTTCTTGGAGCTACAATTTTAGGAGGTAAATTTGATGGTCAAGAAGTAGTCATACCGAGATTGACACTAACACCATCTGATGCAAGAATACCATTCAAGTTCCAAAGAAGACAGTTTCCCATCATGACCTCTTATGCGATGACAATAAATAAGAGTCAAGGTCAATCTCTAACGCATGTTGGACTTTTACTGAAAAAACCAGTCTTCACTCATGGTCAACTTTACGTTGCAGCGTCCAGAGTTACAAATCGCAAAGGCTTGAAAATATTGATTTGTGACGAGGATGGCAAACAGATCGACCATACTACAAATGTTGTTTACAAAGAGGTCTTTCAGAATTTGTAGTATCACTTCATGTTGCAGCTTCTACAGTTTTACTAACAACTTCGTACTTTGAAGTGTTATATCTGTTTTTTATTGGCCCATCTTTGTCGTTGTCTCAATCTCTCTTTATATACGAATATTTAATATGTTACCGTTTTATTTTGTTTTCAACCATTTCTGCCTTTTAATAATAAACTTCTTAATCACAAAATGGTAAATATTCATCCGCGCATCGCGCGGGTGAGAATCTAGTTCATTTATAAAGAGGGCACTAATTGATAAATCCATTGACATACACGCACGTTTGTGTAGGTCAAAGCTTGATTGGAAAAGCAAGAGATAGGACGTACTTGTCTTAGATTAGGATTGGTTGGACATTTGTACACGCGGCCAAGTGTAAACTCGTTCTTCAGTTGGATATAAAGCATACTGCATATACCTAGTACTTTTTTTTTGATCGACTGCATATACTTCTAATGTGTCTTGTCTTTAAAAATTGTAAAAATTGTTTGTCTACACCTTATACACCGGTGTGAGGCTGATTGCAACCTTGGGGTGAAAAAAGCCAATTTTGAGCTTTTCATTCCTAAAACAAGTGCAATCCAATGTATTGAGAAGGGCCAAAGTAGGTTGGAGGCCCCTTGGGAGTGGAATCCTGTAGCTTTATTCACGGAAGAATGGCTAGCCTCTGCTGCGTGAAAGGATGGGCCAAGATGAAAAAATAAATCCCATTTTTCTTTAAACTATTCTAACTTTTATTTTTGTATTTGAATTTTTATAAAATGTATACCAAAATTCATAACTTTTTATTATCTTTCATATGATACCAATATTGAATATATTAAGTTAAAAAAAATAAGTCTCAACTACACGAGCTTTTCGGAACAAAAAATATTTAACTCTAAATTTATTTATTTTTACATCGGAACGTTTAGCTTTTCGAATCGTAACTATTCGCAACAAAAAAAACTAGAAACAAATTGATGTATAATAATAAAAGTAAGACAACAATTAAAAAGAACTTCGTTAGGTGAATATATATTGACAGTACTGGATTGCAACAAAAACTAAATTGACTGAATGAATACTTATAATGTTGTGGGGAATTTGATTTATTGACGGAACTGGGTTGCGGTTAGCCTGAGAAGGCTATTTTTATTGGTTGAGTCTCATTCGTACATAAATGCGTAGGTCAATGACTCAATGAGTGCATGTTTTGCCGTTCACAGACAAAAAAAATAATCTTCTCGCACAAAAATAAGGTATACAAGAAACTGTATACACGAAGAATGATTGTTCAAAATTCTAAGAAAATTGCAATTCAAGTGCTTAAGTTCTTGTGTAATTTTTTATGTTTGACTTTAGATTAGTTGTTTTTTTTATCGTACTTTAGATTAGTTTAAAAGTGTATTGTTATCCAATACTTCCTCCGTATTTAAAAGATGTCTACGTTTGGTTATGACACAAAATTTAAGGGAGAATAGTAAGAGTAATGAATATTATAGAAAAAGTAGAAGAGAGTGTGAAAAAGTATGAAAGAGGGCAAAAAAAAAGTAGAAAATGTAAGAGTATTGAGTATTTTACTATTTTTAAACCAAGAAACTTATCAAAAAAGGGAAAGTGAATGCACATGCAACCGTGGTAACAATAAATCTAATATCACAATCATAAAGTAAATATGTATTGAACCAACACACATATATTTGGGTTGCTTTTACAAATATGAAATTTACATAATGGAACAAGACATGATTTGTAATCATACTAGTTTAATGCATAAATCCAAACTCATGTACAATATTTATTATTAATAATGTTATTATTATCATCATCATCATATTATTAGAGATTTTTTCACAAATATAATTCAAACAATATAAATAATATGACTAAATTTATTGTAGCATGATATAAATATGTAATTATTTCTTATTATTAACTCTAGTACTACTTTAAAATTCCATTTTCTTTTATAATAATTTGACAGTTCCTTAATTCCTTAGACATATTTGTATAAAAACCAAAAGGCGAAGAATTGACGACAAATTAAGAGCCCGTTTGGTAGCACCAAAATCGGCTGTTTTGGCTGATTCTGCTGAAATTTATGATATTCTGGATGGAGTGGCTGTTTTGGCTGATTCTGCTGATTTAAGAAAAAAATATTTTAGAAATATATTTTATTAATAAATTAAAGAAAAAATTATATGTAAAAATAGCTAAAATGGTCCTCTACAGTAACTTCAGCCAATACAGCCAGAAAAGTAACTCCAACCTTACTTTTTCGGCTTATTACACAATTCAGCGCGCGAAAGTAAAAGTTACGTGTTTGGTAAAAAAGCTGGCTGATAAGCCTGATAAGCCGAAAACAGAGTTCTCCAAACGGGCTCTAAAATTGAAGCGTCCACAATTCATGACTTATGAATATGAATCAAACTGAATTATTGGGATTTAATGATTCGATTCCAACAATTCTCTAGCTCTTTGTTTCCGAAGTCCGACTTCTAAAATCAATCGATTCAGTTATATATATGTTGGATATATTTTTGTTTAAGTTCTAAATGTACAAAAAATATATAAATCCAAAAATGTTGATCGAGATTTGTCGAGTATTAAAAAGGTTGCATTTTTGACGCATGTATTTGTGTCAATCTTAGGTTCGTTATTTGCCACGTGCTTCTGGACTTGGCTGCTTCCTGACAGTGACAAGATGAATATGGACAAATGATAGAGGAATATATCTTCAAAAACACTTCAATACCGTTCACATTGTCGCATCCTGCCAAAGATCAATAGTTGTCGATGCAGGATAATCCTACATCTTTTTCAACCGTTTACGTTTATTTTGTTTTATAAATTAAATGATATTTCCTTTTTCCTGAATCACAGTTTGTGAATTTTAAAGTTGATTGACGAGAAAATTAAATCGTTTCTATAAATTAACATATCAATTTTAATATTTAAAACACTACAAACAAAGTAACATGCATTTCTTAACACATAAAAAGTGTCAAGAAAAATAGATAAAGTGTCAAGATAGACACCCTAAGGAAATTGCAACACACTTTAAAAGTATCAAGAGGAAATGTGTTACGAAAAGTCAATACTAACACTTGTATACAAGTGTTGGTAAATCACTTTACACCTTTAGTGGCACACAATTGATCCAAACCTTACACAATTTTTGTGTGTCAACTGTCAAGGAAGCTTTAAGGTGACAGTCAAGTGTCAAGAAAATCCACATTGAATAATCGTTCCTGGATAATACGCTAATTATAATAATTTCTATTGTCGTACATGTTCGCAATATCAATGTAGGATATTATAAACCATTTCCATATTAAAACTTTCAAATTCAAATAAGTATGTAGTATCTCATTCAAATTTATTCAAAAACAAATACGATAGTAAGAAATAAGTACGTAAGAACTAGTTCATAGTTTGAAACATACAAAAATTAACGAAAATAAGTACGTAAGAACTAGTTCATAGTTCACAGCATTATGAATTTCGGTGTGGGAAAAAACCACACTAGAAACCTACTTTTTCCTAGTTTTCTCCATTTCAACGAGTGAACTTCGAGAATCAATTTCTCATTCACCCGTTATCCGTTTTGAGCGTATTATATATCGAATTGTAGCCCTAAGCAAGGTCAATCCGAAACCACTTTGACCCGATCTAAATCGGAAGTGGACCCCACTCAAAAAATTACCCCAAAATGACCATTTAATGTAATTTACTAACACATTTTCCAACGTTATATACTTAATTAGGCCCTTTTTTCATATATACTTTTGATGATACTATTTTCTCTTACTTCATTTCTAACTCTTTCTTTCATTCTTCACCTCAATTTTTCAATTTTGTTGCTTGTGAAAGTATATACTCCCTCCGTCCCTTATAACTTTGCCAACTTTCCTTTTTTGGTTGTCCCAAAAACTTTGCCACTTTCCATTTTAATCAATCAATTTGTGGCTCATGTTATTTCTCTCTCCTCTGCACAAATCTCTACCACACAGTTTTTACTTTATTATTCTACGTGCCGGTCAAACATGGCAAACCTTTAAGGGACGGAGGGAGTATATATTGAAGGTGATGATCAGCATATGTGAATTCAGAAATACATGTTTCAATTAAAAATTACATTGAAAGTTAAAGTGGCAAATTATAAGTAAAAGTACATTGAAAGTATGCAATAGGGATTTTTTTTTGTAACAATGCAATATGGAATAAAAAATTGAGTTATGATGTAAGTTTTCTCGCACTTAAAATAGATCGTAATATAGTGGTGAAAGTACGAGTATCGTCTCCACAGGGACGGACAAAAGGGAATCAAGAATTAATTAAATTCAGCGATTAAAAAGAAAATAAAATAAAAGCGTCGTACGAGATTGGTTGGTTTGGAAAATAAAACTAATGCGAACAATTAAACTAGGGGGTTCTTTCTAATTAATGACAAAGGGAACAGGGATCGATTCCGGGGTAACCAGATTTCTGGCAGATCAGGCCTAATTACATGAAATTAATTTAATTGAGCCTAGCTAATCATTACTAAGTTCTTACCGCTCTCGCGGCGTAGAGTACAATAATTTAGGGGACCAGGCTGATCTCTCATGCGACAGGATCCTAAATTATTGCCAAGACGAGCGAGCTTACGGCCCCTTAATCGCTACTAATCTCTTAGCGAACGATTAAGTGTGTGTGAATGTATCCTAGAACAAATTAGATCTCTCTTAATTTATTCTACATGCAATTGTAATTCTAGTCGCGATTCTAGGTTACAAAAGATATCAATTAAATTATTCAAACACAAACTAAACGGCATTTATGCAATCAAACCGAAAAGAATCTAGCCATACATCATGATTAACCCCTTCATCAATCCCAAATCCCTAATTAAAACTACTCACAATTCATAATTGAAGAATCAATAGAATTGGAATAAAAAGAATTAATTGTCATTAATTAAAAAGGTGGAACTTACAAAGAATCCCAAAAGATTGATGAACAAGGCTGAAAAGCCCTCTAAAATTCGTTCTAGGCACTCTCTCTAAGCTCCCCCCTTGAAAACGAGGGTTTACAGGCTGTTTAAATAGAAAAATCGGGTGAAATTTGA